GACCTCAAAATCAAGATCCGGCGAAGCCCCCTTCTTCGAAGTTGTTAAATTTGGAAGATAATAACTTGATCGTTATTCCCCTTCCAAATTTAACTCACCCGGTGGAAAAGGAATTTTCTTCTTTGATTCCTAATAATTGCTCACCCAACGATGCAATTATTCCTAATCTTAACTCTCCTATTGAGGAAGTTTCCTCCTCAGGCCAACCTTCTCTTCCTATTATTATGCTTTCTAATAAGTTTGTTGCTCTTCAATCGGAAGACCCCCCAAACCAAGAGATGGAAGGTAACGACTCGGAAGCTAATTCGTATAATAATATTATTTTAGAGGAGGTTCCTCATTCTCCTAACTCTTCTGGGATCAATAACCAAAAGTCTCCTGTCTCTATGCAAACCAGAGCCAAAGCCGCCAGGAAGGCAAAAAATTCCAAGAATTAATGTTTTTTCCTAATATTGCTAGTTGGAATGTTAGGGGTTTCAATAACCCAAATAAGGTTAAAGCTTGTAGAGAGCTTGTTAGTACTTTTAATCTTAGCATGTTATGTATTTTAGAAGCTAAAGTCAATAATGAGGCCCTTGCTGATCCTTGGTTTGTTAATTCTCACACGATTTTTAACAATGATGGCAGTAGTAATAATTTCTATCATTCCAATCCTGGTAGGATTTGGATTAAGTGGAACTCGCAGCTTATTTCTTTTTATCCCCTTTTTATTTCTTCTCAAATTATTCATGGCACTATTACTGTGGGGTCGCAATCTCCTGTTTTACTTTCTGTTATTTATGCTGCTAATAATATTACTGACATAAATATTTTATGGGAGCAGTTGAGGAGTTTGGTGCCGGACCCCTCCATGGCTTGGGTTATCATGGGGGATTTTAACTGTTATAGATCTGAAGAGGAAAAATCTGGTGGTAACCAGTCTCCTAGTAGCCAGATGGGTGAGCTTAACACAATTATTTTTTATTGTGGTGTGCTTGACTTAGCCTCTGTAGGTCTTTTTTACACTTGGTACAATCAAAGGATCGATTCCCCCATTCATATTAAGTTAGATAGAATTCTTACTAACAATACGATGTTGGATAGATTTCCTTCTGCTTTCTATAAAGTTTTGCCTACGCATTGTTCAGACCACTCTCCGTTAATTTTATTTACTTCCAGCTGGGATAAGAAACCTTCTAGATTCCTGTTTAAGAATTTCTGGATTAATATGAATGGGTTTTATGAGGAGGTTTTAAATGATTTTGATAGACATTTTAACTGTAGTCCTATTGCTACTTTCTATAGATCTTTGCAGATTCTGAAGAAGTCTTTGAAAGATAAGAATTGGTCTTCTTCTTGCTACATCTTAAATTCATTGCAGGATTTAAAAGCTAGGCATCAACGATATATTTATGATTTACAACTTGATCCGATGAATAGCAATTTAAATCTTCTTTATAAACAAGCTTGTCACAATATTAACATTTTAAGCAAAGCTTGGTCTTCCTGGCTTTTCCAAAGAGCCAAAACCAAATGGCTTAGGAATGGTGAAAATGACCTTGGTTTCTTATATACTCTGATTAGAACCAGGAATAACATTAATGCTATTAAAGAGATCTCCACTCCTAACGGTAATTTTGATAAGCAAGAAGATATTGCTGAAGAGGTTATTAAGCATTTTAAAGAGATTTTTAACTCTCCTAAGCCTCTTAAGGAGAACAATTTCAATTTTCCTGCTGGTAACAGGATACCTGCTAATATGATTAGCTCCTTAACTATTCCTTTTTTAGAATATGATATTAAAAAAGTGGTTTTTGATGGTTCCTCAAGCTCTGCCCCGGGTTCGGATGGCTTTACGTTTGAATTTTATAAGAAGACCTGGCATATCATTGGGCATTATTTGTGTAAGGCTATTAATTATGTTTTCTCTACTAACCATCTCCCTAAAGGGGTGAAAGCATCTGCTATTACTCTCATTCCTAAAAAACCTCATGCTTCTAATATTAATGATTCCAGGCCTATTTCCTTACGTAATGTTTTTTATAAAATCATTGCTAAACTTCTCGCTAATAGGATGATTACTATTCTTCCTTTCATCATTCACGAGAGTCAAGCTGGCTTCATCCATAATAGAAGTACTTCTGATAATGTTTTGCTGGCTTCAGAAGTGCTTAGAGAATTAAATTTTGCTAGTAATCTTTTTTGTGCCAAATTGGATATTAGTAAGGCTTTTGATTCTGTTTCTCGTAACTTTTTGTTAAATAGAATGAGGAAAAAGGGGTTTCCTGAGATTTTTATCAATTGGGTAAAAGGATGTATTACTAATGTTCATTTTTCTATTTTCTTGAATGGTTCTTTGGAGGGGTTTTTTAACTCTTCTTCTGGGCTTAGACAAGGGTGCCCATTATCTCCCCTTCTCTTCTGCTTAGTGATGGATGCCTTATCTTGTAGTCTTTCTTTGGATTACTTGGGGTATAATTCAAATGGTTTTAAATTTAAAGGTAACACTTTTAACCATCTTAAGTATGCAAATGATTTACTTGTTTTTGGGTCTGCTAGACCTCATAATGCCACGGGTTTGAATAAAATCCTCTCTGATTTTGCTGAAGCGTCTGGTCTTAGAATTAACTCTTCTAAAAGTTTTATTATTTTCTCTCATCATGCTATTGATGCTGATCAATTTTGTAGTATTATGGGTATCACTCAAAGGAACCACTTCCTTACTTACTTTGGGATCCCCATATCTCCTGAAAGACTTAAAGCTTCTCATTTTCAGCAGCTTTTAGGTAAAATTACTACTTTGCTTGATGGGTGTAAGGTTAGAATCCTCTCTTTAGCTGGTAGAGTCCAATTTTTGAAATTTACTATCTCTAATACTCTTGCTTATTGGATTAAAGGATCCATCATACCTAAGGCCAAATGTAAGTCTATCTCCAAGTTGTGCTCAAATTTCCTTTATCATGGTAATATTAATGGTAAGAAAGTTCATTTGATTGCTTTGGATAATACTGTTATTCCTAAGCATAAGGGCGGTTTAGGCATTGCCTCTATTGATTCCCTTTATTACAGTTTTTATTGCTCTTTTATCTGGAGAATGCTGACTCAGGATTCTTTAATCTATTCATGGTTTAAGAATAAATATATATCCCCTTGGAAACCCCTGTCTGCTAGAGCTACTAAATTCTAGAAAAACATTTGTGCCACTGCACATAAAATCAAGGAGCATTTAACTTTCCAGATTAACCCTTCTTTTAATTTCTCTTTATATTGGGATCCTTGGTGTAGTGGTAAAGCTTTGTCTGAATGCTTTCCTGTGGCTAAACAATTTTCTGTGTTAACTATTCAAGATTGTATCAGGAACAAGTCCTGGTATCTTCCGAACTCAATTCCTGAAAATGTGGTTCATAAAATTCATGCTGTTGAGATTATAGAGCAACCGGCGTTGGCTTGGGATGGCTCCTTTAATCCTAAGTTTAAGAATTTTAAGGATTCCTACTATGCTCATCTGGAGGAAGTTACCTGGCATAAATATGTGTGGCACAAGTTTTATTCCCTTAGTACTCAATTTTCACCTGGATGGCTATTTTGCATAAACTTAAAGTGGGTGACTTGTTGATTAAGAGATCAATACAGTTTAATCCAGATTGATGCCTTTGTCACAATGCACCGGAAGATCACAATCATCTGTTCTTTTGTTGCAATTTTACATTTCATGTGATTATTAATCTTATTCCGGATTTAAAATTTTTCTTACTTAGACCGAATTTGTTACAAATTTTTTATTGTTTGGACAATTTGTTGCGCCTGACCAAGAGGGAAAAGATTTTCTGCTATCTTATAGTTTGCTGCACTGTATACCAAATCTGGAGGGAAAGGAATAATCGTCAATTTGCAAACAAAAGGAATTCACCTGACACCGTTATTATCATTATTAGTAATGCTATCAGAATAAAAGCCAGCAGCTGGAAGCAATTTAATCAGTTGAAAGAGAAATTCCAGTTTGATTGATTTGGTTTCTGCATTCTAGGAGTCTTGTTAGGTTTGGGTGGAAACCTGCATTTGTAGGTTTCAGTGTTTTTTACTTGTTCTTGTTGTTATTGTGGTGGTTTGTGATGTCTTGGTTCTATGTTTCCATTGTCTTTTCTAGTTTGTTTGTTTTCTCTGTTTCCTGTTCCAGTGTTTTGTCTCTCTTTGTACCCGAATTTTTTTAATAAAATGGGCGTTGCCTCTATTTACCCCAAAAAAAAATCATTTGCAACTGCAAAGAAAAAAACATATAGAACACAATGAACATAATTGATGATGAAAAGCAATGAAGAAGATTCCATATGATTAAGATAATGTTGAATTCAATGCATCATCATCTATAATGTTTTAAAAAAAAAATAGTGATGGGAAAATATTTGCTAGCACTTATACTCGAAAAACCAAATTTTTTTTTAAACTTTCAAATAACCAATGAAAAGATTAAAAAAAAATTATTTCTCATTGATTCAACAAGACAACCTGTCTCTGATGCCACTTGAGGGAAATAATGGGAGATGAAAAGAATAATTTCACCTTCTCTAGATTTCATGTCAAATCATAGAGAAGAATTATCAAAAGTGTACTTAAAATACATAATTGAGGTTTCTTCTCTTTCACATTTGCAATGGCATTCCGGAGAGAGATTCTTTTTCACTCAATATGGTAAATTTGAAAATGAGAACCAACCGCTTAAATTGAGGGCAAAACCCTTATTTATACCTAATTGTATTTATTTTATTTTAGTCCATCATTAAAATAAAATATAATTATTGATCTCTATACAATATTTAATTCCATATAAAGTTAAATGAGATGTACATAACAAATAATAATTAACTCAAGTATATCATGAATTTAACTGCTTAATTCTAAATAACATCTATTGTATAATAATAATAATAATAATAATAATAATAATAATAATAATAATAATAATAATAGAGACTATATGAAATAGTCATAATACTTAACCACTAAACACAAATATTATCAAAGCCTCTATGGAGATAAGCTCTCTTATCTGAAGGCGATCCTGAAGGCGATTTTGGGGTCTCTTTGGCTTCCTGTGTTTCTCCGTCAGTCCGATGTAGCCGACGGAGGTTCTTGGCTACAATTTTTTGCTCGGGATGCATTCAGTTTGGCTGTTCGGATTGAATGGTGTGACCATATTGAATGGAGTGGAGGTGATATTTTAAATTTCTTTCTTGCGGTTTCTTGCAATGAGGCTAGTTTGGAGATGTTTGACCGTCAGCCCAGTTTGGTAGTTGTTGGATTCTGTTGCAGATATCCTTTTGGTTTTACTTGTATGGCTACGTGTGGTAAGGATTTTTTGGATTGTTTCCGATTTGATAATTTTCTGGCATTAAGTTTTGAAAAGGATATGCTCTTCGGGAGGGAGCTTTTAGTGTTCAAAAATTCTTTTCGATAGATTTATCGCTTTGATATGCAGATGGTTTTGGTTAAATGAATTTTCTGTGAAGATTTTGGTATATTTTTGACTTTTAAATGCATACCACTATCTTATTTTGAGGTTTGTTATGATTCAATTGAAGATTGAATTTCAAGATTCTTTTTTATGAAAGTTTTCTCCGATCCAGCTTATATCGGAGTGTTCTTGTGAGATCTGAAGTACTTGTGATGGCAGATTATGTGAGATGCAATTGATTCAAATAGAGCTTTTTGAAGGTTGTTTTATAGATTGTTGGTTGAAAATTTTTTCTCACATTACACTGGATTTCTTTAATAATCGTGGTGGATCTACTGTTGCGATCTTGGTCAATATTCCTGTGGTTTCTTCTTCAGATGCCATTTTTATTGCAATTTTTTGCTACATTTGATTGGAGTGTCTATGGAATATAGCATGGGCATTCCTAGATGTTTTACTAATAATCTGAAGTGGGATCCCGTCCCATTTAAGGTTATGGCTGTTATGGTTTTGTTCTTTGATGTTCAACGATTGTTTGTTGAAAGATGGAAGATTATGGAGGCTTTCATTGCTCCTAAAGGAGTTGTTTTCTTGGTGATTTCTTCTACTTTAAAGGTAGAGGTTCTGTTTCTTGCAGATTTGTTTCATAATTCTTCCGTTTATATAGTTATTTGGCTGTGTTTGATTGGAGTGTCTAAGGAAGATAGTTTGGATCTTCATAGATGGTTTGTTAATGATCTGAAGTGGGATATGGTACCAGCTTTGATAATGGTTGTTACTATTTTGTTTAGTGTTGTTCAAGGATTGGTTGTGGAAGGATGGAAAAGATGGAGAATTCTGTTGTATTTTTGGAAAATGATTGTTTGAACAAGTTCTTATCTGTTAAGGTGAATTCTACTTTACTAAGCATGAAGATTAAGCTTGTAGGGGCTGCTGAAGTCTTATCTTGGATAAGTGGTATTGGAATGTTAGGGGGAACTATCATGTTGATCAGATAGTTTTCTTTGATGAAGAGTTTCTTTTAGTTTGGATCTTGGAGGATATAGATGGTTTTATGGCTACTTGGTTCCAAGATTTTTAGCTTTTATTATTATTTGTATCAGGGAATTAGATTAATGGATATTAGGACTCTTACTAGTTTTCACTTTTTATCTAATTGGGAATTCTGGGATACTAACCAACCTATTTGGTTTTTTAATATTTGGTGCCCTCATCATCCCAATTGTTTCAAAGTGAGGAATAGTGTATCTTATTTCCATTATGATAATTTCTATGTCGCAAATATTTTTTTCTTATGTGTTGTTTGCATTTGAATAAGGTTTCCTTTCATAGTGTTAAGAAAGGGCTACCTATTAGATTTATTTCCTTTTTAGTTTGTAATAACTTTTTTTTCTTGTGATTAATGCAATTTGCATTCCTTCAAAAAAAAAAACTATTGTATAATAAAAGATTCTTGTATTTATGTATGGGCCCATATAGGGGTAGAACCATAAATTTTTTTGAATGGGGGCTCAAATTAGTATTAGCCATTATATTACTCTCAAATATTATTTTACTAGTGTAATCGCAAATCATGAGATATGTTTTTAATAAAAAATATATACCAAAATACATCTAAAATTATATTTGTTCATGTTAAGAGAGGGAGAGAGAGAGAGAGAGAGAGAGAGAGAGAGAGAGAGAGAGAGAGAGAAAGGGAGAGAGAGAAAGAGAGATGGCACAAGAGAAATTCCAGCAACTGCTAACGTCATGACTCTTCAGCAAAAAAAAAATGAAATTTGAGATGAAGGTGGAGTTGGAGGGACTGATTAGTTTTAGAAATTAAATTTAACCTTACATATATGTATATATTAATTGTTATATTAATATAATTTGAAATGGGTTGATTTAATTGTTGTGCCAGCAGGGGCTATACCCCCAAGGCCTCCACTATAGACCTGCCACTGGGCCCATATATAGATATTTTCTAGTATTTTTTCCAATGCAATAACTCATCAAGATGGTATAATCTCTTTTCTTTATCTCTACTACTCATTAAATGTAATGCATTGTCTTACTTTTTTTTTTTTGAACAAATCACTCTCTAAAGATGCTAAAAAATTAAGGAACTAAATATATATCCAAATATCTCAAGGACAATATTTAGCAAAGGTCAAATAAGCTCAAGCTAAATTGGCGAGATAGGATAAGCCAGAATAATGAATTTGCTAAGGGGATGTTTGGTTGGAGGAAAAGTAAATGCAAAGCATAATAAACTTCTTTACTTTTTAACATTTTAGTGTTTGGTTGGTTACAAAGTAAGACAAAGTAAACTCCTAATGTATTCCAAACTCCTCGCATTTGTGATTTTTTTTGTTTACTAAATTCACTCAAAATTGAGTGAAAAAAGAATTTTGCAAGCATAAGTGTAGGAGGTGTGTGCAGAAATCGCAGAAGATTGACAAATGGGCAACCGGGTGGTGCAGTTTCATGCGTGTGAAGAGTTGTGGAAGGTGTGGCTTTGATTCTCATTCTCGTGTGGTGGGCAGAGGCATGACGGGAGCCTTTCATGTGTGGAGTAGGTGGAGGCAATGCAGGTTCATTTGCATGTGCGGGTGTCGGACTATACAGCAAAAGGCGGGCTCACTCGCATGTGTTGGATTTAGATAAAACATGTGAAGGCTCGAATGTTTCGAGCAAAATGGTATTGGAAAAGGAGAGTTCGCTTTCATGTATGAGAGCCAGATAGTACAGTTGAAGGCAGGTGTCGGTCAAAAAATGACACAGGAGATGATCACAAGTAGCATGTGTTGATCATTCGCGGATGGTGCAGCTGTAGACAAAATTTAGGATCAGATAAGAGGACATGCTCGATTGTGACCAATGGGATTAATCGTGCCAAAGCCTTATGAATTGTTGTAGTCCATTGCTCTGTGATATACTTTTCCACTTAATATTGATTTGTCCACACCATGCGGCACTACATGAAAAAGCTCTGTTACCACTGGACAAATCCATCGGTAACAAAAGAAATCCACCAGAAAATCCTTTTTCTTATGATAAATGATCCGACAATAATTCACGCATCGAAAACTATAAACTGACAAAGTTTTTCTACTAGAAATGTTTTTGGCGACGTTTCTAATGAAATTTCGATGAAAGAATGATGGCAAAATGTCATATTTCCATTAACTTATTCTAATGTTTAATCTGCCAATATTTCTAGCAGAAAATGTACACCAAAAATACTGATGGATAATCCGGCGCTTTAGTTTATCGCACTATTATCGACGAAGATTACTGGCAAAATTTTTGTTAAAAATTTTGGCATAAGTATACCCCTAAAACACCACTTGATTTTTATTGTTTCGTGTTGCCAAAAGTATTTCTAGTGAAAAATTTGCTGGAAACCTGTAGAATAACTTTTGACGTCTATGCTCTATCGGCTCGGAGGGACGGCGATGGAGCATAGACGTCTCATTCCTCCGGATACTTAGAAAAATTATAGAAATGGACTTTCTGCTCCGGTTCTTGATTCTACTGAAGTCTTTAATGGCGGATCCAAGATTTTGGATGGATTCAACAAGAACTTTAAAGGTTTTGTTAATAAGCCTTTGGTGATTAATGAGGGGGGTTTGTTGGACAAAAAGGAGACCCTTATCCATGTTTCTGACAAGGGAAAAGATGTGATCGAAGAGGTTATTCCTAAACAGCAGTGGGAAGTCTCACCTTGTCTTAATGACAGGGAGAATAATTTACAAAATTTGAATTTAGAAGCTTCGTCTTCAGCAGGATTAAAGATCAATTCTAGTGTTGATCATAATAAGATTTCTTTCAAATCTTCTCCTATTATTAGGAATTCTGCTGATTTTTTGAACGACGTTTCAAATGATGCGGAGAATGTGAATGAAGATTTGTCTCTGAATAAGAATTCTGGTTTTTCTGAGGAGGTTCCAGTTGTGGATGTAGCAGGTCCGGTTGATGCTGTAAAGGGGCAGAAGCAGAATGTGTGGTCACAATCGGCTTGGAGGAAAAAACTAGATGTTAATGTAAACAACCTGGATCTAGGAACTTTTTTGTCTGAAGATGGGAAAACGGTGGTTCTTCATGTTGAAAAAGAAATGGAGAATGTAAAGAGACTGGAGAAGGCTATTGTGGTGAAAATTTTTGGAGAGGATATCCCTTTTAATGTGGTGAGTATGGAGTTGAGAAGGCAATGGGAGAAATTTTGTAAATTCCACATTACTGGTTTGGGTCTTGGATGGATTTTGTGCTCGTTCGAGGATGTTAAAGCTGTTAATTGTTGTTGCAAACCTATTTTCAGGTGTTATGTTTTGATGATTGACAAACACTTTTTCTCTTGGACTACTTGTTGCTTCTAACTTTTCAGGAATCGAAGATCGGACGATCAAGAAGAAGCCAAGTTCAGGATTGCGGGTTAAGTCAGTCTGTAATTTTATTTTTTACCTTTTGAGTCTACTTGTAATGGTTAAAATGACTGATGCTAAGTAACCCTTCACACACACACTTGAGAGGCTTAGAAATTCTGTTTTTGCCCACATCGGCCCGGCCGATATTTATATCGTCCGGGACGATCAGCTTAAAACAGAAAGTCTAATTAAGGATTCTTAATTAAGGCAGCCGACATTAACCTATCGGCCTGGACGATACGTGTATCGGCCAGGATGATAAGCTCAAAATAGAAAGACATAGCCGCCTTAGACAGTTTAGGCATACTGTATTTTAAATTATCGGCCAGGACGATTCCTGGATCGGCCTGGACGAAATTACCAAATTATGCCTTAATTGATCAGGAAATCAAGGGAGTAATTAAGGATGATTGATACAATCATATCGGCCAGGACGATCGTGAGATCGGCCTGGATGATAAAGCCAAATTTCAATCGGCCAGGACTGTTCCCAGGGCTGTGCTCAGGACGATTTACCTCTGATTTGAACTAATCGGCCAGGACGATCGTGAGATCGGCCTGGACGATCAAGCCAAATTTCAATCGTCCAGGACTGTTCCCAGGGCTGTGCTCTGGCCGATCTTCCTTGATTTGTACTAATCGGCCAGGCCGATGTCCATATCGGCCGGGACGATAAAGTCGGCTACTTGCAATTAATGAGCTCCTCTTGAGCTCTTCTATTTAAAGAGCTCTTCTTCAACATTTTTAAAAAGACCTTTGGCTGCTGCCTTGACCTGAGAAGACCTTGAGGAGAGAAAGAGAGAGAGGGAGAGAGAGAGGATCTTGTGAGGGGGAGCTTGTGAGGGGATTCACAAGGGTTGCTCAAGGATCGCTCTGCTTGTCTTTCGTCTGGAGTTTCTCGTCCATGGAAGGGTCGGTAGAGGTAAGGAGTTTTTCTTTTGGTTGTGGTTCTCTGCCAGCTTCAGGAGGAAGCAAAAGGAGGTGGGTTCTCTGCCTTGCCGGGGTGGCAAAAAGGAGTTTCTTGTGAGGGCTTCTCCGCCTAGCTGTGGGGGCTAAAGGAGAGTCACGTTTTGTAGTGCAATACTTGGAGGGTGCCTCCAAGGAGTGGACGTAGGTCTAGTCGACCGAACCACTATAAATCTTGTGTTCTTATTTTTGCTTCCGCACTTTTAAATTCCGCATTTATTTTTGTGGTGTGATTTTGGGGTCGGTAGAGGTAAGGAGTTTTGCTTTTGGTTGTGGTTCTCTGCCAGCTTCAGGAGGAAGCAAAAGGAGGTGGGTTCTCTGCCTTGCCGGGGTGGCAAAAAGGAGTTTCTTGTGAGGGCTTCTCCGCCTAGCTGTGGGGGCTAAAGGAGAGTCACGTTTTGTAGTGCAATACTTGGAGGGTGCCTCCAAGGAGTGGACGTAGATCGAGTCGACCGAACCACTATAAATTTCTGTGTTCTTTTTCTTGCTTCCGCACTTTTAAATTCCGCATTTATTTTTATGGTGTGATTTGGTTTGT